GTCATGCGCATACCCTTCGCAGTACGAGGAGCGTAAGATGACACGTGACGATCTGGGAGTATTTTACGGTTTTAACAGAAACCAGTAGCACAGCGATTCGCAATCTTTGTAAAATAAAGTTTTGAGAAGTGGGAATAGCGTTTAATGGACAATCCAACTTAACAAAGCGCACGCAACTGCGACACAAAAAAAGCAATGGATGATTTTGAAGTCGCTAACCTGGACTGTCTTGCGAACTCGCAGCAACTTGATACATGAGGGGCTGCCATCACAACAAAGTGTAACTCAGCTGATGCCAATGGGAGAAAAAATGTTAAAATTTTAAGCATTCGCCACTTGTGTATACTTGTTTTGAAGATATTTATATTGAACTGAAAATGCCTCAAAAACGCTTAAAACAAGATGTACAAACAAGGTGGAACAGTACGTTATATATGTTTGTAGTAGCGTAATTAAATATTTTTTGTCATACATTTTTTCCATCTGTATTTACTAGCTTAAAAAATTTAATATATAAAGTATAACAAAGTAAAAAGTGTTCTTTTATCGGAATCTGTATCAGTATTGGCAGTATCGGAATCGAATCGGAACTGAAAAAATGTAAATCGGCCCATCCCTAGTATTTTGTACTGAATTCGAAAAATGCCTACAGTATATTATAGGGCTGGATGACGTGTGATATTAATGTCATCATCGCATGCTGTACACATCCAATTCTTACATCGCTAGTCAACTAGATTAAGATCAAGCTTTTTCTTACCTTCAGTTTGGTACAGATATTATAGTGCAGGGAGTTTGTCTCGCTAAAATATTTTTACTCTGTCATAGGAACAAAAACAGCAAGTTTTGCTATTTTAATGATTATTCCTGTTCAGGATTATCCAATATATGTTTAAAAATCAGTTTAAAGTTTACCTCCGCTGCTTTTGCATGAGACAATCATAATCATTTTTATCCTCGATATTTAAGTCACTAGATGGGTTCGTGAAAAATATGCTGAACTCCTTTTTTTGTTTCATAAATACCCCAATATTTGTTACATCAATATCTCATTGCCATATTTGAAAAATGACGAATACTGTGCTCTCATAGCATATTATACAAAATACTTATTTCTTGTTATGCTATCCAGATTTTGTTGTATCCGTTCTTCCGAACAGATCGCAATTAAAGCTCGTGTCACTTCATTTGTCCATGCACCCATTATTATTAATGTTTTTGTTTTTTTTTTTTTTACGTGACGTAATAGGTCAACCAGAAAAAGCCCAGTACTAACAAGCTGAAAGGAGCCATATCGCCACCTATTGTAGCAGAATCAAACATACTCCAGTCAATAAATCGATTCCCCTCCCATGCATGTATACTGCGGCAAGGACAGTAGTCCTATTAAATGGCATAGTTAAGCTATAACCGTGACTCGACTTAGCTGTGCATGTAAACGTGCTGTATGTTACAGATTCTGTATTTCAGTGTAATCCCTGGATTTCCTTCAGGTTCTGGGAAGTCTTTCACAATGATGGGCTCTGCAGACCAGCCAGGCCTGATCCCGCGCCTCTGCAGCTCGCTGTTTGAGCGCACGTTGCAGGAGCAGCGGGATGGCGAGAGCTTCACCATCGAAGTGTCCTACATGGAGATCTACAATGAGAAGGTCCGCGATCTACTGGATCCCAAAGGGTATGAACTTTGTGCTGGTAGGACAGACCCGTCATGATCAGAAGACAAATATCTCCAGGAATAAGTAAATCTATTTTAAGGCCTACAAATGTAGTGAATGTAATGACCTGGCTTAGTCTTCCGGTTTGGGTTTGCCTGTTTGTGGCTTGAACTATGAACTATCCATCCGTTATGTACATGCTAATCGGTGTAGGAAAGATTTACAGAAGGTGTGCATGAGTTTTGTAACCAGACAATTAAATCTTAGACAAGAATATATTATGTGTTAGTTTGTATTTGCCTAAATATAGCTTCTTTCATAGCTATGAATAATGGAAGGAATTAACCTAAATAATTGCATAGGGAATGTATGATGATGATGTTTAATGTGGGTGCTAACAGCTGAATTTAGGTGCATCCATCTTCTAACCATGCATCCTGGTCTGGGTCATGAGGGGACCTGGAGCTCATCCCAGGCAGCAGAAGGCACCAGGCCTGGGGTCCATCCTAGACAGGGTGCTTGTGCCTCACAGAGCACATACACACTCATTTGGAGACCACAGATAGCCTAACTGCATGGCTTTGGACCGTGGGAGGAAACACGGACCATACTGGCCGAACATGTAAACACCACACGCACGCGGCGGAGGTGGGATTTGAACCCACAAGCTAGGATATATTAACAATGCTGCTCTATGAGCTTTAAATGTTTGTTATGCAAACTGCTAAATACAGTGAGTGTTCCACTGCACATATATTAAAAGATTTTAGCACATTGTATGGTAAGTGGAAATAAAATATTGCAGAATTATTTATAATGCTTTGCTTCTGGAATCATAGGTCATAATAGGGGAATAGACAGCTGACTCCGCATTTGCTATACGATCTATCAAATTTTGTACTGTTTAGTATTTGGCCTGATGATAACGTTATCTCTAACCTTAATGTGTTTCCTGTGCCTAGTTTTCCTGCAAAGGTGATAAAAGGGGTACATTGCCATTTGTTTTCATTTAATTGTAGGGTACTATGGCAACAGTTTGCTCAGCAGGAAGGACTTAGGCCTCTTCCCCAACAAGATGGGTTTGATTTCTCTCCAAGTGCGAGTTTGCATGTTCTCTTTGAGTTCTTCTGAGTTTCCACTCCACTCTCCCATCACAGTCCAAAGCATGTAATATACGGTGTATAGGGTGTTTCCCTTCATAAGCTCCCGGCTCATTGTGATCCCGTGCCTGACAAGCGGTTATCAGTGATGTACGGATGAACAGCTAGCTGTAAATATCGTCAGTGGCGTCTTAGCTACGGTAATATGGCAGCTACTTTTGTCACTGTTTAAAGATCTCTACATGCACGCTGCTGGCAGTGGTCATAGACATCCTGATTGTGGCTTTTTGTGAAGTTGGTTTCCAAACTTCATGGACCGTCGAAGGTCAGTAATTTCTTGAGCACTTGAGGGCAAATTTCACAAATTAACCTTCCTTGTTTCCCGCTCTCTTGCCCCTTCGTAGAAGCCGACAGGCACTGAGGGTGAGAGAGCACAAGGTCCTGGGGCCGTACGTGGATGGCCTTTCCCGTCTGGCAGTGGCCTGCTTCAAGGTACCGTGGTCTGGTAACCGTGCTGAACTGCTGGCTTTATGCTCCTGCTTGCTGTTCGATCCAAAGTCATGCTGGAATGCTTTGGTGTGGGTTAGGGAGGGTTAGGGTTAGGGAGGGGTGGCATTTCTGTTAGTACACATGCTCAGGAACCAGCCTTTTCAATTACCCATGAATGTAATTCTAATTTCACAAATGTTATTTTTCCTCAATCAGGTTCCTGTTTTTCATTGCAGACAAAACTATAGAACTGACTTCAGTGTAATTGATAGGCTTGAAATACTCCGTAAAAATATTGTCGGAACGAACTCGTTAATTATGATCATGAAGTAATTAACTTGTTGGTCATATAACATGCCCTATAATAGTATAATTGAATGGTATTGTAATTGAGTTAGCATTATTAGTAGTAGCAATAGTAGCAACATGGTATATTAAGAGTTGCATTGTTCTTGATTGTAATTACACAGCTAAATATCAAATTTGGACCAAGTTTCAGAGTTTCACCTGTTCCCCACTGGCCCACTCTCGTTTCCTCGCTGGTAGGACATCGAGTCGCTGATGTCAGAAGGGAACAAGTCGCGCACAGTGGCCGCCACCAACATGAACGAAGAGAGCAGCCGCTCGCATGCTGTCTTCATAATCATCCTCACTCACACGCTCAAGGACCTGCGCTCTGGGGTGAGCAACAAAATGGGCTAACAGACCAGTCCTCGGGGCACACTGGACAAATCCACATTTTTGTTTTATCCCAGTTCCCAGAACACCTGGCCCAAGCAGTCAAGAGCTTTAAACTGGGATAAAACAAAAATGTGGATCCATCCAGTGTGCCCCAAGGACTGTTTTGAGAAACACTGGCCTAACGTAAAATTGTTACATATCTGAAATGATAATAATAATGAATAATAATGTAACTAATACACTCATGGTAGAGACACTCAATGGGTGGCATTGCAGTGTTGCTTTCTTGAGAGTTTGATTCCAACCCCTAGGTCTGTGCATGTGCATGTGGAGTCCTTTCTGCAGGTTCTCAATTTTGCAAGGGCTTTTATTTCCCCATTTTTCTCCCCAGTTTCCCCAGTAGTCCATCAAACATACAGTTGAGTGAACTGGCATTTCTAAATTGC